TAGGTGTGGAGTGGCTGCTGCTCCCCAGCTGTCTGTGTACATACTTCTGGGTGCTGTTGTTTCCTTGCCACGTGCAAATATCAGTTTGCAGATGAGTTTTGGTTTTCCTCACGGGTGTTGTTTGGGGCTGGGGAAGGGGGGGGAGCTGGCCCGGGCTGTCTGCACTGTCCAGTCTGTACCTGTAACACGTGTGTAGCCGGCGGGGTTTGTTAATAGTTGATATTGTACAGGGGAATTGAGAAATCTTATTTTTTTTATGCGGTTTTAAATAAAAACTAAAACACTTGATGTGGTGGAGACATTCCTTCGTGGCAGGGTGGGATGAGGGGTGCTGTGAGTGTGTGGGGTACCAGTGACCACACCACGGACTGACGGCTTGTCTCCAGCCAGACTAATCCCAAAGGTTCCCCCTCCAGTGTTAACCAGGACCAGCCAGCCAAAAACACCACGGAGACAGCCGGATCCATCCCTCCACGGGGTGTTTCCAGCGCTGACTGCTCCTGGCAGCTCTCCTGGGAGAGATCAAAGAAGTGCAGAGCCCTTTTCGTTCCCATTCATCCGCAGGCTGGAGCGGAGCATGTGCTGGGGACGGCGAGTAAACAAACATCAAAGCGACCTTACGAAAGGCCGGATGTTGTCAGCCAAATTAAATTTTGGTAAGGCAGATCCTGTTGCTCCGGCTCTGTTGGGTGTTGCATGCCGGGTGCCGGGTGCCTGGTGGGTGCAGGAAGCCGCCCGTGGGCTGTCCCACCTCCGGCCAACGCGGAGCAGAGGAAGCCGATCTTCGGATTACGAGAAGTCGGTCGCTATCGGTCGGCAGCGGTTGAGTCTTTGCCCTCCAAACTGTCAAAACCCCACTTCCAGCTCTGCAGCACTTCGGGGATGTTGGTTTGGTTGGTTTGGTTTGTTTTGTTTGGTTTGTTTTTTTTTTAATATTAGGATTTTTTTTTTAACTAATTTAGTGTGCTGAATTTTGAAGCCCTGTTTGCGTGTGAGCCGCTGCAGCACCTGCTGCGTGCACAGAGCTGTGTCTGCTCCAAGGAAGGGACACTTTTCCCTTTCTGCAGGTGACTTTGCAAGTCCCCCAGCCAGATCTGAGACAGACAGGACCCTCCTTTCCTTGGCTTGCTCCAGGGCTTTTTCTTTAATATCCCCATGTCCAGCGAATGGTCCCTTTCCCCAGCTCACCCCAAGCTTTTGCCAGTCCTGCTCTCCAAGCCATGCTGCTGCTATGTCAGGGAATAGGGGGTCCTGTAACCACATCCCAGCCCTGTGGAGTGACCTGGTGTCACCACTGTGCCTCTGCCTTCACCAAAAAGTGCTAAATTGTTTTGTTTTGCTTTTCTCCTTTTTTATTTTCTTGGGTTTTTTTCTATTTCACTCAGCTGCATCTTTCATCTCCTTGAAGCTGCTCAAAGCAGGAAACGCAGCTCCAAACGCCTTCAAAGTTTAGGGCCTATTTTGAGATGCGGTTTGTATTTGCCCTCCTCTCTCTCATTTCCCCCCAGACCATCCGGGAAGCTGCTCTTACACGAACACAAACCTCCCCACCACCACACCTCCTGCTACCCTGAGGAGCTGGAGCCCCCTGGGGTGGCCACTGTCCCCCCCCCCGGCACCACCAAAGCCCTATCGTGGCAGCCCCGGCGCGGGCTGAGCCCGTCCCACCCTTCCCGTAAACACTCCCCGACTGTTGCGGTGTTTCTTAGAAAACCCGCTGCAGAAAGGCTGAGCAGGTCCTGCGTGGGGCTGAGTGCTGATAGTCACTTGGCTTCCTGGTGATTTTGTCACCACCAGGCTTGTGCTGCAGCAGGGGGATGGTGCTGTCGTGTCCCCCTGGAAAGATCCCGCTGGCGGGTCCCGTCCTGTCCTGCCGGGGTGACACGGTGCATCCAAGGGTTGGGTGTTGGATTGGTGCGTGTTTGATTCCAAGTGCACCAGCCTTTCTGAGCAGTAATACCTTCACAAGGCCAAGGGCCACCAGATTTGTGTCCCAGGACTCTCTGGAAAAGGGTCAGTGGATGTTTGATTCCATGTGCACCAGCCTGCCTGTGCAGTAGGACTTTCACCAGGCTGAGAGCCACCAGAGTCATATCCTAGGCCACAGGGAAAGAACCATGGGAGATGTGATAAGTGACCCAAAGATGGGCACTCACAGCATCAGCTGCCTGTTCTCCCCTGCAGGCTGCCCACCACCATCACATCGTGGCACAGGCACGTGCACACAGGGCTTGGAGGCCCTTTTCATCCTTCATTTTTCCTCAGTGGGAGATGTTCCCTGCACTTTGGGGCCATCAGCTGTGACAGGAGAAGATGAAAACACAGGAGATACACATTAGGAAATGACTGACCCAGGGCCAGCACTGCTCTCCCACCTCCCTCTCACCAGTTTTCCTTGCTCCCCAGTGTCAGCAGGCGAAACACCCACAATGCAGAAATAGGAAAAAAAACAATGAAGCAGGACCAGGATGAGATTTCAGGCTCTTGGACTTCCCATTCCAGGAGCACTGGAGTCCCATGGCTGACAGAGGACTTGCAAAGGGCCAGCACTCATCACACCTGTGCCTTCCTGTACACATCCATCCCCAGCTAAGGTGCTCGGTGATGCAGGAAGGACCAGCCAGGGGAGCCTGGAGCCACAGCAAAAGGGGTATTTACATTTTCCATGTCCCATTCTGGAAAGGGGAGATGAGCAACAGCCAAACATCTGCCAAGGCTGGAGAAAGGCAGATGAGCACCGAGGAGAAAAGTCACCTGGGGAGCAGGGGCCGGGCTCGCCCCAGGGACCTGAAGAGCCAGAGACTCCGAGGTGGCATCTCACCACCTCCCTGTCCCAAGGAAAACATCCAACTGCCCCTGAGGTGGTATCTGAAACCCTTTGGCCTTCTTGGCACCGTGAGTCACAAGGAGCTATTTTCAACCCGTGCCTTAGGACGAGGTGAATTATCATCAAACCAGGTGTCCCACAGCTCCAGCTCCCCAGGAGTGAATCCTTGTGGAAGCCAGTCTTCAAGTGTGGCAATAGCATTATCTCCACAGGGCATGTGGGGAAACTGAGGCACAGTGACCCAATTCACTGCAGAACCTTTGGGGTGGAGCTTGGGCTCTCCTGTCTTTCCTTTCCTTTCCCTTCCCTCTCCCTCCTCGGGCTGGGATCAGCTGCAAGAACTCCCACCATCATCCCCCTGACCCCCACTGACCCCATGTCCCCTGGGCAGGGAATTGAATCCTGCAGGAGCCAAAACCAAAGCCCTGCACCCCTCTCAGTGTGAACCTGGGGTGAAACATGTCCTTTCCCAGGCCTTCTTTGAAACCCTCCTGCTGTGCTGTGACAGCAAGGGGGGCAGGTGCTGGTTTCAGGCACCTGGAGCCCCACTCCAGACCAGAGTCTCCTGTTTTGGGTTTTACACGAGTGTCCCAAGAGTGGATCTGCACCAACCCTGCCTCCGTGACACATCGAAACTGCATCACTCAGCCTGCGAGTTGGTGGGGGTTTTAAAGAGGAAAAAACACTTTATTCACCATAAAAAACCCCAAACCAACCGCAAAACCTTTCCAGCGCGTAAAGTTGAGTTAAATTTAGCAGCTTCAGCTAAAGAAACATATTTTGAAAGCTGTAATGGAAGTGTTTCTTTCATCCCTTTCCAAGCTTTTGGTCCCCTTCCTCCAGGGCAATATTTCTGTGTCCTTACTCACTGGGTTTATTGCAGTTAGGAGGGGGTTAAGCAACCCCAAAAATGAAACAACACCTCCTGTTTCAAGCTGCAGCAGCCACTTCAGTGGCCCTGCAACGCCGCAGAGGCACGTGTGTGAATGCGAGGGGCGAGCGGGTGCCGGGGACAAAGTTCTCACCCTGCCACCGAAGCTGTGAGAAAAACAGAAGCAGTAAAACGTCATTTCAGGTCACCCTCTGCCCAAATTCTTCATCTCTTTCCCCGAAATGGGCAGGCAGGGCTGAGCCCCGCAGCATCAGAACTGACCCCAAGGGAACGCAGCCCCGCTCTGCCAAGCACAGCGTGGATGTGCCATGGCAGTGTAATCCCGGTGCCAGGCTACCACCCGTAGTAGATTGCTCGCTGTAGCATCCCCCTGTGTGTGCAGGGGTGCACACAGAGGCCCAGGTGTGTGTAGATCCCCCTCCAAGCACATAAATTGGGCTCCATTTGTGCCAGTGTGGCTCCTGCCCTGGCTAATCAAGACCTGATGCAATCAAAGCACAGCTGTGAGTGCCAAGGGCTTGGATTTCATCCTTTCCCGCACCCCCAGGGTGGGTTTTCTCACCTTTTGGGAGTGGTGCAGGGTGTGGGCAGAGCAGACAATGAACTCCCTTCCCTTGCCAGGGCAGAGGGGTCCATCCATTGTTGCTCCATGGGGTGTTTCCAAACAAAGTCTTGATAAGACCAATACCTAAAGCAGGAGAAAATGATGCGTGAATTCCCATGGAAAATGGGAGAGAAAACTCCAGGGACGATCTAACGATCTAACCCTCAGGCTGGGGAGGAACAGCAAAGCCAGTCCACCCTGCCTTAGGCAGAGGGGACGTCAGGTATCCAAAGGAGCTTTGCAGGGATGCACAGATGCCAAAAGTGACCCTGGGACTCCACTGAAACCGAGAGCTCCCGCTCCCGTGGGGGATGGCTTCCATTTCCCAGAGTTTGCAGTCGTGTTACGGGATGAAGGGATTTGTGATAACCCTGTTTGTCACACCTCGTATCCCAGAGGTTTTGAACTCTGGGTGGAAGGAGCGGTGTTTCCACCCAGCTGCTTCCTGGAAACTTTGCTAGTCCAACACAGCCCCTCTGACCAGGAGGGCAGTGCTCTCCCTGCAGCTGGGGACCCCAGAATGTGCTAGTTTTGCCAGCTCTGAAGTTTCCTTTCTCCGCTTCAGCTTCAGGATGGGAAAAGGAACTGATTCTTCTCTCTTGAGTTTCAGTCTTGTTCAGAATCGAAAGCTGTCAGAGATTCAAGGCTCGCTGTCAGAGATCCTGGGCTCGCTGTGACATCCAGGGCTCTCTCTGCCCCCCTGGAATGTCTCCCTGTACCCCGAGAGCAGCTGATGGAGAGGGAAAAGAGCAGCGAGAGGTTGGATCAGGGCAAAGCCCTCAAGTGCTGAGGCTCCAGCGACGAGCCCGTGCCGCCCTCTGCTGTCAGCCCCGGCCTCCCAAAACGGGCGGGTCTGCAGAAAACCGCCTGATTTTAAAATTTTCTTCTCTTTTTTTAAGTGCTGCCGGCCCTCCCCAGTCCTGAAAAGCTTTCCAAGCTTCTTCCCGAGGGGTTGGTGGACCTGGCCACCGGCGAGGCGCTCAAAAAGCTACTGGATGTGGCACTTAATGCTACAACTGGTCTGGGTGACAAGGTGGTGATCAGTCAAAGGTTGAATTTGATGATCTCAGGGGTCTTTTCCAACATAAATGATTCTGTGATTGAATTCGGCTGGGGTACATTCCTTCACACCCAAAGTGCAGGTGAGCCCACCAGGCTCTGGAGGTTCCCCTTTGGCTGGAGGGGACGGGATTCATTCCCTGTTCAGCCGCTGCCAAGCTGCTGTTTGGCACGAGATGGATATTGTGAAACAGGAGCTCCTGGTCCTGCTGACAGCCTCCATCACCCACCCTGGCTCAGGATGGAGCAGGGGGAGCCAGTGTGACAAAAACACCCGTGGGGGGTCACACAAGGGGGTTCAGAACCCGAGCACTGGCCGGTTTGGTTTGCAGGGGGTTTGAGCTGCTCTGCTCCCCTTGTTTGCTTGGTTTATTGACTGGGGGGGGGTTTGGCCAGTGCAGGGGTGGATAAACACAGTTTTTTTCCCACATATGGGTGAATTTTTCCCTTGCATTAACAATCAGGCCTTGCCTGGGGTCCCACTGCTCTGTTCCCGCACTGGTGCCTTCATTTTACACCCCAGAGTTTGCAACCAAGGGTCAGGTGAGGGCAAGAAGGGATCCCTCAGTGGGTCACTCTGTGTGACCCCAGGCAGTCCCCACATCCCCAGGGATGCCTGGGCACGGCTCTGACGAGCTCCTGTGTCCCTCAGGAACGCGGGTGTACAGCCCCCCGGAGCAGATCCGCTTCCACCGCTACCACGGCCACTCAGCCTCCACCTGCTCCCTGGGTGTCCTGCTCTACAAGTTGGTTTGTGGGGACATCCCCTTCGAGCAGGATGAGGACATCATCTGGGGACAGCTCTTCTTCCAGCAGATCTCAGG